TCTGGGAAATTTCCCAAATGCCTGGGTATCTGGGAAATTTCCCAAATGCCTAGGTTTTTGGGAAATTTCCTATTTAAAAAAAATGTAAATGCTGTCGTGTCATGTAATCTGTTTCAGTTTGTGGTAATATCTTTACTCTAAAAAGGAAAATAACTATTTAACTAATCTTGATATCTTTATATACTTAATGCCTGTATGTCTGTTTGTTTATTTTTCCGTCTGTCTGTATCCAATAAACGTCAAAACAGCTGAACCGATCGGGCCCAAATTTTGTGTAGGACCGTTTACATGACTCAAGGGAAATGCTTAAAATTATAAGAAATTGTTTCCAAAAATTAAAAATTTTCTGGAAGTTTAAAAAATCCACGAAATATTTTTTGATTTTTAATTTATCAAAGATTGCCGAAAGATTGCAACTACAAAAAGTTGAAAGAAAGGTATTTCCTAATTTACTGTAAGCAGACATGATCTCAATCCTATACAGGGTTACCTACAGTGGATTGGACTTTCCGTTCTTAAATGCATTTCCCCAGTATTAATTATAATTTTGCACTTATGGAATTTAATAAATTTAAATTTTTATTAATTGATAATTATTTACGCATTTAGAAATTTTAGGATTGCAGTTCGCTTCGACCCCCCCCCCCCCTTCTATTTTGAATTTTATCTTGTATTGCTGATCAATCTCCTAAACGCTTTCAAGTAATCAAAAGAACAATGAGGAAGAAAATTTCATATTCTAATGTTTGGGTTTCAAAAGTCACTGGATTTCTTCAAAATATAAAAAAAAACAATACATCAAAAGAAAAACTAAATTCATATACTAAGAAAAGTCCTATATATTTAAGAATGTGGAATGAAAGTTATTTTCAAAATTCCCTTTTGAATATTTAAGCTTCTCCAAACAAAAGCTTCATTACAAATACCATGAATGAAATGTATGGATTCTTACAATTCAGTAATTTGAGAGAATCTAAAAATGAATTATGAATTATAATTGTTAATTATTGTTTCATCAGATATAATGCATCTTCAGAAAGTTCTGCTCCGTTTCTGTAACAATAATAATATAAAAATAATTTTTAATGTTTCTTTAATCACAAACCAAGGTAATTAAAAATTACGGTCATTATCCTAAGTATCCTTATTCGTCTCGTTCTTTGTTCACCTACGGCTATTTTGTCCCACGATTGCCTTGTCCTACGTTTGTCATGTTCTATATTTCTATAATTGTTTTTTTCTTTTTGTACGGTTGTTACGTCCTAGCTCAATTGCTCAATTAAGAACCAGGTATCTGAAATTGTTGTTCTTGATTATAAAAATAGTACAAAAAGTCCCAGTTTGGTTTTTTGAATACTGAATAGTCCAAACATTACTGTAAAAGTACCAGTTTGGTTCTATGGATACTGAATAGTACAAATATTACTGTAAAAGTACCAGTTTGGTTCTATGAATACTGATTAGAACAAAAAATACTGGAAAAGTCCCTGTATGGTTTTTTGAATACTGATTTTTACAAATATTACTGGAAAAGCACCAGTTTGGTTCTATGGATACTGATTAGTACGAATATTATTGGAAAAGCACCAGTTTGGTTCTATGGAAACTGAATAGTATGAATATTATTGGAAAGTACCAGTTTGGTTTTATGGATACTGATTAGTACGAATATTATTGGAAAATACCAGTTTGGTTCTATGGATACTGATTAGTACGAATATTATTGGAAAAACACCAGTTTGGTTCTATGGATACTGATTAGTACGAATATTATTGGAAAATACCAGTTTGGTTCTATGGATACTGATTAGTACGAATATTATTGGAAAATAACAGTTTGGTTCTATGGATACTGATTAGTATGAATAATACTGGAAAATACCAGTTTGGTTCTATGGATACTGATTAGTATGAATAATACTGGAAAATACCAGTTTGGTTCTATGGATACTGATTAGTATGAATAATACTGGAAAAGTACCAGTTTGGTTCTATGGAAACTGATTAGTATGAATATAATTGGAAAAATACCAGTTTTGTTATATAATTACTGTAAAAAAGCTGCAACAAAAGGCAATTTAGGTTTAATCACCCAAATGTTTCCACCCTAATTGATTAACACAAATATTGAGCTGAACTTATTTGCTAATACCAAAAAACCATCATCATTATTATAAAGTGCTCGAAAAGAAAATTTGATGAACTTTTGATAAAGGTTAATTGTTTGTTTCCATGGAAGAAACATTTTTAAATATCATGAAACTACAACATTGTTTATTTTAGGTAAATTGCATGGTTTTGCATCATTAGTGACACAATACCTAGATTTATCGAGCTAACTTGAAGGCCTGATGAAATTATGGCAACATTATTTTGGGGAATGCACTGTATAATTTATATATAAGGAACATTTTCATTTCCCTAACGAACAAAAAGTTTCGCGAAAAAATATGAAAATTATCATTTGTATCTCGTAAATCGCGTAAATGAATTAAGCGAAAAAATGCAAGTGTTGTAGCTGTAACAATTAATTGCTCAAAAAATCTTGTGGAATTCTCTGCTCTGAGAGCTCAGCATTATAAGTTTTATTTTATCATAGTTAATAATTGCTCTTACTTCACTTTCATAAATGTTTAATGAAAAATTCCGGATTTTTCCTCTCTTCGCTGGAAACCCTACGATCAGACTCACTAAACACTAACATAATAAAATGTAGATTTTTTCCCAAACAAACCCTTTAAATATGTGTAAATTGTGCACATGTGCAATACCATACTTATTGCAAATTATGAATCCAAAAATTTCTTTAAAAAAGCTTTTAAAAAATGTTTGTTATCAACTTTTACCTGTGGTTATCTGTTTCTAACAACATTGTTCCCCTGTACCACCTGCAAATATAACATAGATTAACATAGATGGTTAAATAACACTGCAGCACCCATAGATTCAGCCTGCTTATTAATAGTCTCATTAATTTCAAGACAAAGTCGACTTTAAAGTGTCGAACCGCCTTTGGCTTTGATTTTAGTGCTCTAACTCACTTATGCTTTTCTGTAGCCCTTTATATGTACATTTTAGTACTGAAAACCGCTTGTTGTTTTCAAAAAGAAATTTGCAAAATTCTCTTAAATTTTTTCTTAAGAGATTGGAACCTTTAAATCACAATGAGCAACGAAATGATGTCGACAGGTCGAAATTATGTCGACAGGTCAAAATTATGTCGACATGTCGAAATTATGTCGACAGGTCGAAATTATATCTAAGGTCGAAATTATGTCGACAGGTCGAAATTATGTCGACAGGTCGAAATTATCTCGACATGCCGAAATTATGTTGACAGGTCGAAATTATGTCGTTTGTTTTCTTAAATTTGAATTTACGTTTTCTGCTACAATCAAACTTAACAATCATTAAACTTATTGATTTGTTATTTGCTTTTTTAATTTTAACAGATCAAGCGACATGACAGGTATAAAAGAGAAAACGCCGAAAAAAAATGCTTTTGGAATGGTTATACAGTGTAAAATGAACCGACCTTTTATATCCCTGTGCGGGATGAATAAACAGGGACTCAGGAGAGTTTTTAGTTGATGCTTTGTCTCTAATTTATTAAGCTATTTATTTGCAACTATTTTCTTTTTTATAATAAATGTACGTACGCTCTTCTGCTCTAATTGACGGAATTTTCCTTTGGCTGACAGGCTATACAAAAATACAAACGCTAATTGACAGCTCTCTCTATACATGGACATTGTACACGATTAGTATCTTTATGTAATGTGCCTGTATGGTAAATAATAAGTAAACAAAATTTCAAAAACTTGTTCATCCAGTCGCAATTATATATTGCAAAAAAATGATCTCCTGGACCGACCTTTTTTATGTTGAAACCCCGACACGGCCAAGACGAGTCATGCATTTTCAAGAGGGGGGGTCGTCCCCCCCCCAAATTTTCAGGAGAGGATGTCCCCCCCCGCAAACTAATCAAAATTCAACCGTTATGCCCCAATATCAAGGTCGAAGGCTGTGAAGGTTTAAGCATAAATTACTGAATCTAAATTCCCCCAATTATTATTCAATATTCAAAATATTATAAACATGAAATGATAAATTATATTATGTAAAGCAACGCTAACCCTGTTCTTTACTCATTGTAAACATTATATATAATTAATGTATGTGTGCGTGTGTATATCTACAGTTATACGGTCTGAATATCATTTAATAATCTGTTTGATATAAGCGTTAATGAAACTATTACAATCAACGATATATAACCTACTAAGTATGCATTATATCGTATAAAAAACGAACAATCGTTTTTCAAAAAGTTAGTTTTCTAAAAATGTCGATTTTATAAAAATCGTCGTTTCATTAACGATCGTTAACGACGACCCTCCGTTAACAACAACCCTTCGTTAACGACGACCCTACGTCAACGATAGCTAACGACGACCCTTCGTTAACGATCGTTAACATAATTCTCAGTATTTTTTTCAAAAACGATCGTTTTTCAAAAGCAATCGTTTTTAAAAAACAATCGTTTTTTAAAACGATCATTATTCGTTTTCTAAAAGTTCAAAACGAGTGGGTCGTTTTAAAAAAATCGTTTTTTTTAAACGAAACGATCGTTTTTGAAAACGATTAAAAAACTAAACAACGACCGTTTTAAAAAAATACACACTTCGGAGGTTTTTTAGTTTATAATGTGTTCATGTGATTATAAATAATAACTTGCGGGCCGTGTTTATCAAGTTATAAATCCTTTCTAGCTCATCATTAGTGTCTTTATTTCTACTCTTATACCACCAATTAATGATATATATTGTCAACGATACATTTGCAAAAAAAATAATAATAAAAAATAAAAATACAGCAACATTAATATAACACACAATACCTGTAAAATTGATAACACAAGATAACAAGAAAAAAATGAAAACACAACATTGATAAAGAAATTTGTAAGCATAAAATCGTTCTTGACCAGGGTTTAAAGGGTACCGTTGTAAATCAGGGATTTATTCCTTTATAATAAATAATATATATATATATAATAAATCCAAAATTACAAATAAAAATTAAAATAATATGTACACTACTGAATAAACCTGAAATCTGGACGTATATTGACCTGATATCTGGGATAGGATATCCTTGAACCCTACAGACCAGGGTTGCCTGTTCTCCAAGTCCACCTTGAACCACGTCCTGCTCAACCCAAACCTCGGGCTTATCTATCCAAAGGAAAAACATGTTAAGAGAATAAAAACATAAATGAACCTAATCAATAATCATATTAAAATTTTATCAATCATTTTCAGCCATTTTTCTTAAGATTTTTAAGAGTTTTGAAAAACATTTAATAAATTTTGAAATAGTTGAAAATCGTTTATTTAAAAAAGGATACCCTAAAAATTCCATATAAAACTCTGTTTTAACTTAAAATTATTTTGTTAAAGAAATTGCAAGCTGCAAACTCGGAAACCTTACTGATTTCCCTCCCCCTGTGTACACCCCTGCCCCTGTGTACACCCCTGCCCCTGTGTACACCCCTGCCCCTGTGTACACCTCTGCCCCTGTGTACACCCCTGCCCCTGTGTACACCCCTGACCCTGATAAATAGCAATTTTTAACGGATTACATTTTGATAAGATATCTACGTATTTCTAGAACAGGGCAATATATTTCCAATATTTATCCAGAATTTTAAAATATCTGGAGAAAGTCAGAATTTACAATTTTTGCGAGATCGGGTTTCCGGTTACAACAGTCTATTAATTGATTTTAAACATGTCTGGGTGTTTTACAGAAATCCTATCGCTTTGTTAATAAAGAAAATCAGTTAAACGTTTCTAATACTCCGATAGAATTATAAGTTTGCATTTAAGATCTTCGATTCTATGAGCAGCTATACTGCAGAGTAAAGGAATTGGCATTGTCCATTTAAGGAGGGGGGTGTACGATTCACAACCTCATTCTTTAAACCTTTATCTGATCAATAATGTGGGAGATATCGCCACACTTGAAAACAGAAAAAAATAGAATAACAGATTTGATCATTTTTTATAAGAATTGTCTTTCAATTTTATACAAATACTACAATTTATAAAAGCTCTTAAAAATTGCTGTTCAAGTTCTCATTTGTTACTTTGTACATAAAGAAACTAAACATTTTGCGGACTTTCATGTTCATATTTATGGATTTAAAAAAAAAAAAATACATTTTTCTAAACATTTTCTAATCTCTATATCTTTGCAACCCAATGCCCTAGACCTTTGATATTTCAAACTATGAATCATGTTAGATGAAAGAATCTAAGTTTGAAATATCAAAGTTTACACCATCAGGTGGAAAAAATATAGGTATTAGAAAATCAGAGTTGATTACAAATACTCAATTCCTTTTTCCACTTTCGATCGGTCATACAAATAAAACTTCCATGGGATCATGTGCTCTGAACTAGCTAATCATTTCGATCATTTTTACGTTTATTGGATACAAAAAAAACAAAGCAACAGACAAGTCATATATTTATATACATCCCACTTAAGTCAGAAAATATTTAGGTCAGTGTCTTTTAGGTCGGATGAGCGAGTATCTGAGTTGTATATAATTTATAATATTTATAAACACAAACACATTTTTATCAAAACATCTATTGCCGAACAAAAAAGCATGACATGAATTAATAATTAATAAATAATGGATAAAGATGGATTATAAATGGGAATTAACCTAAATATTAGAATCACTGTGCCATTATAAAGCTTAAAAAGAACGAGAAGAAATCTGTGTATAGTAATTTAGATCTGGACATCGTCCTGTAAACAAACGAAACTTTTTAAGAATTAACTATTTTCTAAGCTTTGAACACCAAGCCCATATTATTGTATATATAAGAAGTGCAAAACTCTTTCTAAACAAACTTACCAACCGTTATTGTTAGCGGTGAAGGCAGTAATAATAATTGACATATAAACTGTTCACGCCGTTAAAAAATGAGAAAATTAAAAGGAAAACTCGGCCAGCTGGTACTGGTAGGGAGGTTGAGCGGAACATACAGTATTATAATGATCAATTTAAGGATTCGTTTTAAACCAATATGACGTTTTTGTGATATATAATGACTTGGCTTGCAATTTGCTCACATGATACGATTTTTTAACCCATATCAACCCTGACAGAAAAAGCTTGAATTAATGGAACAGTACAATAAGGTCAGTCTATTCATATACATTTTTTTCTAAATATAACTTCAACTTTTGTTTATTTATTGGGTGATATCGGGTTACAGATTCCTTTTAATTAAGGCTATTGAAAACAATTCAGAGGTTAGAACTTTTGTGCGGAGTAGTGTGAATCCAGAACGCCTGATCTCAATAACAAATATTCACACTATAAACTTGAGAATACATGCTTGATTCTTAAATTAAAAATAAGAATACGACCACCGAGGGATATCGAAGAGGAATTAAATGAATATCGAGATCAATGTTTGATCTCGAGACTAACAACACAAATGTGTTTTGAACACAGATTAACACATGGTTGCAAGACAAGTGGGAATTATTAAAAGCCATGGTTTAGACAAGTTTGTTTCTAATGTTTTGTAAGATGTAAAAATAGAATTTGTTTGTTGAGTGCAGAAGATTGATAGTTCACAAGGGAGGTCAGAAAACAACAAAACACAAGTAAAAGTAAACTAGCAATTCTTGTTACCCTTTCTAACCATAGAACGATTTATTACATATATTTTATTACAGAAATTCAGGATGCTTCCCCTCCTCAAACTAGTTTACACATTTAAGAAATGATCACGACTGTTCGCAAAAATAGCTTCCAAAATCATTGTTTTTATCATTCTTAAATCAGTTGAATTACAAGATTAGCAAACCTTGAAATGTTTATTTATCCTGCCAACCAAGGCCATGACAAAAAAACATGAAAATTGGTTTGAAAACCACTGATTCGAAAGCTGGAAATCAGCTGATCTAACTGCTAGATATACTACAGAAAAACTGTAGGTTCCACCAGAGATATAAGGACCTTTAGTCGGATATTGAATGATTTTTGATTTCGATATCCAAAGTGTACACTTTTGAATTTGAGGATCAATGCTTAATCACTCCATGTAAGTGTTCTCATAAGGTACAACCAATAATAGATATCCAAAAGGAATCAAATTAATCCGTGGATCTGCATAAGATGGTAAATCAATGCTTAATCCTGAGATTTACAATAAAAATTTAACTGAGAGTGCGGATTAATGGAATTAGGAATAAATGAAACTTTCTTATTGAATGTTTTAGCTCTGCAACTTTTTTCCTCAAATATTCTTTAAAAGAACTAAGCATGTATGAATCTGTATTAAGTTGCAGATAAAAAAAAAGACTTCATGGTTATAACGATTAAATGAAGATGGTTTATAACACGTCATTTAAGCAGTTGATTCTACACTTTAAACCAAAGGAAAAATGGATAGAACACAGATGTTTTTCTTTCCTTTAGCAAAAACTTTATATATTTTCTAAAACTCCAGTCTACAAGGATTTATTGATAAAAAGCTTTAAAAACCTTTGTTGTAAAAGGGTTTTTTATAATAAAAAAATTGGTAAAATATACTACTTCTTCTACATCAAAATATACCACTTCTTCTACATCAAAATATACTACTTCTTCTACATCAAAAGGACCTGTTTCCTTGATTTTAATTGAAAGGTTGAAAATAAGAATAAAAATGTTCCATGACTTCATCATCTAAGGTATGAACTTCTAAATAGACTCGGTATTTGAATTAACGAATCAGCGACCTAGCTTAAAAAGATAAAAATCGGTCTATGAATGAGTCACAAATTCCTCTTAATAAAGCGGTTAAGCATTAAAAATGAGTTAATTCCTTTAAAAACTTTAATTTCTTATTTTAAAAAATAAAAACTGTAAAGGTGTTTTATATTTGGTTTGGAAAAATTGTTTTAAAATCCTAATCCATCTCATAAAACCCGGTTTTCCTTCTTTGATATTAATTAAAAATTAAACATCCCCGGATATAGCCTCAAGTCAAAACACATTAGAGACCAGCAGAGTATCCAACTTAAAGGGAAAAATTCCCAAAATTAAATTTAGTTTTGAATTGTACGCTTCACTTTAATTAAGATGACCACGGTCACATTTTATTATTTGTCTAAAACAATTAAATAATTTTTTACATTTTTTCAATTTTTAGGGTTAACAATTATTTTAGAATTTGATTTTATGTCATCAAATAAATGAAAGGGCTTGCAACACCTAATAAACAGCTCATGAAATAAAAAATGAAACAGTTCTTTCCTTATGAAATTTATTTGAGACTATTTGAGACATCTTTCATGATTCAGGAAAACGAGGGGTATCTTCCACAAGAGTACCGTTGTAAATCGGGCATTGCCATTTTTGCATAGAGGGTCACTTGAAATTAGGCATACAGTCTCTTGAAGCACTGACACATATTCTGTTATATTTTTACATTTATATTGCTTTGCTCATTTTCAAACTGCAAAGATAAAGATTAGAATTGGAAAATAATATGTTTCTAAATTAATTTTTTTAATGGCTTTTTAAAAATAAAAGTTTCAGATGTGTTTCCTATGGCTTTTTATATACACAACACATATACATATAATAAATACACAAAAGTGTTACCAAACCTTTATAATCTTACAAAAAATAACATTATAATAACACTGCCACACTGCAGTAGTCTAAGGTTTAAATTTATTATGCAACATCTGTAGCTCTTGTAGCTAGCTACTGAATCAACGCCATTTAAAACAATGCTAAAACTAAAAGTAAAATATTTTAGAATTTTCCCAACACTATAAATCTTTAAGATAAATTGTAATTTCGTTATTTATTATTTAATTATGTTGTTTAATAAAATCCAGGAAACCTTGCCGGAATTTTTCTATTTTTTCATGTATACTTTTAAATTTTATAGAGGAGAAATAATAAAATGTGAATAAAGCATTTTCAATTCTTAACAGATAAATTCCAGATGATACACAACAAACTAAACATGACAATACAATTTAGCCACAAAGGAGTGCAGTAAATTATATAAAAGTAAAAGATATGTAACACAATGTTTAATAACAAATTTCAACAGTTAACCCTATTCCTGCTGGGGGTGGGGGTCAATTTGACCCCCCCCTGTAGTTTTTTTTACATAACTCAAAAAGTATTGGTCTGAGGCTGTTGAAATTTTCTGACTTTTCTTACATACCCAAAACCCTCCCTTTAGGCCTAAAACCGGGCTTTAATACTAACTGCCTGAGTCCTCAGGCACACTGTAACAAACTAAATATTTGTTTTGACCCACTTCCACTTGTCAGATTTTGATCAAATGTAGCTTTTTGGAAAGCCTTTGACATAAGAAAACGAATTGCACAAGTTTTGCGAGAAAAAAAATTGAATTTTTTTGCAAACAACCTGTCAAAGAAAATTTGCACATTTTCAGTTTCTCTTGGTTAAAAGTCAGGTTATTTAAAATTTTGCAAAATCTTTTGCATATTTGAAATGGCATGAATAAGGGCTTTTTAAAAATGTATAATTTTTAAATTTTTTGGACAAATTTGTTTTGCAAACATTTTTACTTTATAACTGGATTATGCGATAAAAAATTCAATTTTTGCAAATTTGCAAATTTTTTTGCAGATTCTAAAAGTAGAGCACAAGAGCTTTCCAATGATGTATTATTTGTCATATTTGGACATCAAACATGGGATTTAGAGGGGGGTCAAATTGACCATGCTGTATAAAAAAGCAAACTCCAGATTTTGTTTTATTTTACAAGAATATCTAGTATAAGAAGATCTATTCTTCTAAGATTCACCAATCTAATCCTGGTAAGCCAGATGAGGCTTTGATTAACAATTAAGTCTTATACACTATCATTATTTAAAATCTAGAAAAATACAAGGGTGTAATGTAAGGAAAGTTAATTGCGGTCGTGTATACTCTGTGTACATATTGAAACCAGTTCGCTTTGGGCGGAATTTGTAAAAAAGAATAGATGCATCAGTGTTCGTTTAGTATCTGAGGAGGTAAAAAGCATTAAATTCTGATAATTTTGATAATTCACATAATAGTTTCCTATGACCAGAATATTTCATTGATTTTTTAATGTGAAAGATGGATCCCATGTCAGGCTTTGACAGCCGTCTTGTGTTTACATTACCGCCCAGAGACAATACACTGCAGTACAAAAGATGTGTACACTTCTGAAATAACTTTTTTTGCATCACATCCTTGGAAAAATAGATTTTCTTACAGTTTTGGAGTCTCCCATGAATGGAATTCCAAAATTTTGTAAAAAGAATATGTTTTTTTAATGGTTCCAATTTGAGACTCACTATAATCTAAAATATCAAAAAAGACGAAATAAAGAAGGTAGATTTTGTTTAGAATATATGGAAAATAGATCTGTATAGAATATATGGAAAATAGATCTGTATAGAATATATGGAAAATCATAAGATCATATAATTATACCTACCGAGCTTCACTAATCTAATACCTCAGTAAGCTAGACTAGACTTTTATTAACAAAAGTATCATTATTCAATATTAATAAAAGCAGGTCATATTTTTTAGGTTTAAGTCTTTTTCCATCATCGTAAATTTCTATTTGCATCTCTATAACATTTTACCCCCGCCCTCGCGATTAAATTTAGAATGAATGCCAAGAAAATTCTTGGTAAAAGTCCCAGGAATCCAAATATCTTTTGGGACTTCAGGAAATTAAAAGACATTCCCCATATTTATCTCCAGATTTCCCCCACTATTTTTATTCAGATTTTGTCCACTATTTATCTCCAGATTTCCCCCACTATTTATATCCAGATTTCTCCCACTATTTAACTACATATTTCCCCCACTATTTATCTCCAGATTTCCCCCACTTTTTACCTCCAGATTTCCCCACTATTTATCTCCAGATTTCCCCCACTAATTATCTCCAGATTTCCCCCCACTATTTATCTTCAGATTCCCTCAGTAATTATCTCCGGATTTCCCCCCACTATTTATATCAAGATTTCCTCAACTAATCATCTCCAGATTTTCCCCACTATTTATCTTCAGGTTTTATAGAAATCTGTTCGCTCCACCATTTTCTAAAGTTTCGATTCTTAAAGTACGTAACGGTTTGTGAAGTTATTTTTTATTCGGATTTTTTTAAGGAGGGGCCAAGCCAAGTCTCATAGACAAATTAGAAAAAATATCATTTATATATTGACTAAAATTGGCTTGCTTACGATATTAAAAACAATTTCCTTTAAAAGAAGTCATGGCTTTTAATTCTTGTTAATTACCCCCCTCTAACAAGAGAATATGAATGAGAGTTTCTAAACTTAACTGTTCAATTCTAATTAAATGCTACTTCGTCACATCAACTTTAAAGTTTAAACTACTCACAGAATAAAATCAAAATTGCACTGTTGGCTCCCTTTTTTATAAAATGGAGGGATAAACAAAAGAAAATACTTACATAAAACTTTGATTTGTATGTGTACATCCGCAGGGTTTCCTACTCCATTGTCTGCTGTACAAATGTACATGCCTGCATGATGATGTGTGACGTCACTTAGTTGTAAAACGCCCCCCTCACCGAGAATCTAAATAGCAAGATTGTTTATTTCTTAAATTCTTATTTTCTCCTAGCCAACTATCTTTCCTTTGCTTTTTGTGATGAATTTTATATTTTTAAAATTTTTATTTGTGTAGGTCCTATCATTTTAAACGAATCTATGTAAAAAAGTCCCGGGGAAAAAGTCTCGAATTAGTAGGACTTTATTTTTTGGAGACTTTTTAATAAAAGTACTTTTTTCCACAGGACTTTTTTAGTATGAAATTTTAGGACTTTTTTTCCGGAAACTTACCTTTTAAACAGCCCTTATCGGCTAGTTAGGTTCTGATTAATGTATTGTATATGAATTTATAATAGTTTAAAAAAACATTGTTATCATTGATATTTCCATTCTGTCATTATTTTTCTGACCTCTCCTTAATTTTCTCACGGCAGTGTCCTTATTTTTTTCCACAATGTCCTGTCCTAAATTTTACTAGCATGTTCTTAAATTTCCCGTCCTGTCCTAAATTTTTCCGCCCTGTCCTTATTTTTTTCCATTTAAGCCTCTCTTTTCCTAGTTTGCCAAAATTTTCCTATTTTGTCCTTTATTTTCCCGCCTGCCTTCAAAATTTTCCATCCTATTTTTGACTTTTCAACCTTATCCTGAATTTCCCCATCATGTTCTTAATTTCACTTTTTTCACTTCCTATTATTTCCCTATTTTGTCCTGATTGTATCCTACCCTGTCCTGATTGTACCCTACCTTGTCCTGATTGTGTCCTACCCTGTCCTGATTGTACCCTACCTTGTTCTGATTGTACCCTACCTTCTCCTGATTGTACCCTACCTTGTCCTGATTGTATCCTACCCTGTCCTGATTGTACCCTACCTTGTCCTGATTGTGTCCTACCCTGTCCTGATTGTACCCTACCTTGTCCTGATTGTACCCTACCTTGTCCTGATTGTACCCTACCTTGTCCTGATTGTACCCTACCTTGTCCTAATTCGTATCCTACCTTGTCCTGATTGTATCCTACCTTGCCCTGATTGTATCCTACCTTGTTCTAATTCTATCCTACCTTGCCCTGATTGTATCCTACCTTGTCCTGATTGTATCCTACCTTGCCCTGATTGTATCCTAACTTGTCCTGATTGTACCCTACCTTGTCCTGATTGTACCCTACCTTGTTCTAATTCTATCCTACCTTTCCCTGATTGTATCCTAACTTGTCCTGATTGTATCCTACCTTGTTCTGATTGTATCCTATCTTTCCCTGATTGTATCCTACCTTGACCTGATTGTGTCCTACCTTGTTCTAATTATTTCCTACCTTGTCCTGGTTGTGTCCTACGTTGCCCTGGTTGTGTCCTACCTTGTCCTGGTTGTGTCCTACCTTGTCCCGATTGTGTCCTACCTTGTCCTGATTGTGTCCTACCTTGTCCTGATTGTATCCTACCTTGTACTGATTGTACCCTACCTTGTCCTGATTGTGTCCTACCTTGTCCTGATTGTGTCCTACCTTGTCCTGATTGTATCCTACCTTGTTCTGATTGTGTCTTACCTTGCTTGTGTCGTACCTTGTACTAATTGTGTCCTACCTTGCCCTGATTGTGTCCTACCTTGTCCTGATTGTATTCCACTTTGTCCTGAATATGCTTTACCTTGTCCTGCATATGTTCTATCTTGTCCTGATTGCATCCCACTTTGTCCTGAATATGTCCTACCTTGTCCTGGTTAAGTCTGGTCCATGTAACGCTAGGAGAAGGATTCCCTGTTGCAGTACACTGTACTGTCACCATACTTCCTTGTTTAACCAGAACTTCACCATTAGCAGGATCACTTCGTACTAAATAGAAAACATTTACCCAATATGTTTGTTTTAAGTCTTTAATATCTTTATAAATCTTTAATATCTTTATTAGGGTGTCAAAAAATATGCAAATAAGTAAAGTTTAAAGTCTTTTTTGATAAACAGGGCAAATAGACACTTCTTGACAACGCTTATCCTCGAAATTTTATGAGGCTGAAATTTGCATGGAGGTCAGTGACCCAAGATAACTACAAATAAAGGTTTTGTGCATATTTTTAGCCTCTAAATAATTTTTTAGGATTAAACAAGATGTGTTTTTAAAAGAGTCAAATGTTGCTGTTTTTTATTTTCAGATTTTGGAAGAGAAGACTTTAAGACTGTTAAGGTATCTACCTGAAGGAGGTATATCAACCTGAAGGAGGTATATCTACCTGAAGGAGGTGTAAGTATCTACCTGAAGGCAGTGTAAGTATCTACCTGAAGGAGGTATATCAACCTGAAGGAGGTATCAGTATCTACCTGAAGGAGGCATACCTATCAACCTGAAGGAGGTATACGTATCTGCCTGAAGGAGGTATATGTATTTATCTGAAGGAGGTATACGTATTTATCTGAAGGAGGTATAAGTATCAAGTATCTACCTGAAGGGCTAAAAGTATCTAGCTGAAGGAGGTATAAGTTTTTACCTGAAGGAGGTATAAGTGTCCTGAAGGAGGTATAAGTATCTACCTGAAGGAGGTATAAGTATCTACCTGAAGGAGGTATAAGTATCTACCTGAAGGAGGTATAAGTATCTACCTGAAGGAGGTATAAGTATCTCTATAGAATGACGGATGGATATAGGATCTGATCTATCCGTTTCTATTTCACAATCATACTCTCCTTCATCACTCTTCTCTACACCATGTAGGATCAGGTTGGTTCCTCGCAATTCCATCCTTTAAAAATAATTGTTTTAGCCCTGCCTCGTGAGTCGTAATTTCATCATTTTTTTTAAAATCCGTTTTAACTCTGCCTCGTAATTTCATTCTTTAAAATTGTCTGTTTTAACCCTGCTTCGTATAATTCCATCCTTAAAAGATATATGTTTTAACCCTGCCTCGTAATTCCATCCTTAAAAGATATATGTTTTAACCCTGCCTCGTAATTCCATCCTTAAAAGATATTTGTTTTAATCCTGCCTCGTAATTCCATCCTTAAAAGATATAAGTTTTAATCCTGCCTCGTAATTCCATCCTTAAATGATATATGTTTTAATCCTGCCTCGTAATTCCATCCTTAAAAGATATATGTTTTAATCCTATCTCGTAATTCCATCCCTAAAAGATATATGTTTTAATCCTACATCGTAATTCCATCCTTTAAAGATATATGTTTTAATCCTATATCGTAATCCAATCTTTTAAAAAAAAACCTGTCCCTTAGTGTTGAGATAGTAGAGTGTGCTACACTTCAAGGACTATCAGTTTTTGAAAATTCAAGAATGCTCACTTTAGTAGTTGAGGTACTTGGAAGGTTTAAAAAAAACGTTAAAAAATATTTTGGAGAAAGAAAAATATTTGAATTTTAATGAAAAAGGATTTTCATATATTTCCCTTTTTTACAAAGATAATTAAAACATTTCTTTTCACATAGTTTTTAAACAAAATTATGTTTATATTCAATATGATGCTATTTGCTTGGAAATTCAATTATCAAAGAAATATTAGAAAGAAATTATTTCAATTATTATTGAGTGAAAGAAAGAGGTTAATATTTAATAGTCTGCTGCATTTCGTGCATTTTCTTATTAATACTTTGGCAGTACACCCCGCCATATTATAGATATTAAATAGCACAAATTATCGTAAAATATAAAAACATATAAAAATACAACAAACATATAAATAGTTGACTTGACCCAATTAGTAAGCACCAATACATACATTTACTTGTTTTGTGAATTTATTATTAAATATTATAATTTCTGTTTTTACCTTTCATCCCTTCTCACTCGCATAGTTCCCGCAAATAGAACTCTTGGTCCCTCCTTCCATAGCAGTACCATAGTTCCTAGGTTATGTACAGAACATTCTAGTTCTATACTTTCTCCAGCCTGGTTATACAGTACATGTCTAATAGATATATATTACAAATAATTCTTTACCTTCTTTAGCCTGTACATACAGACAAAGTACATGTCTAATAGATATATATGTCCACATAGTCTATAATTTCTTTAGCCTGTGCATACAGTACATGTATTTTATTTATAGAGAAACAGAATACCTGCACTTTTTGCCATTAGTGTTTGGTTACTTAGAAACATAGAGCAAATTGGTGTCTAACTAAGAGATAACTATACATTTGTTTCCTCTTGACCTTTAACCCTAAACAGGCTGGGTGAGGGCCGTTTGGCACCCCCCCCCCTGTTGTTTTTTTGTCCTAGCACTCTCATTTTTGACTCTTTCATCGTGAAATTTTGTGACTTTTAATGAATAGTAATGTTAAGGATTTTTTGTAAAATTTTTTTTTAATGCATAGGGTTTGGTCTAGGGCGGAAAAAGTCCGGTCTTTGGAAAAAAAATCTAAAATAGCCCATCACTTTTTTGTGACTAAAGTTATAAATCTAAAAACTATATTTTTGAAAAGCCCTTGAAAAATGGAAATAGAAATATGTGTCACACTTTGATATTTGTTTAAAACAAAAACATATTTTTTTCATTTTTATGACCCTTTTTTGGGCGTTTTTTCAACCCTCCCTAGCACTCAAACCATTAAAGTTATCGGTCTATTTTTTATTTTCAAATTGGCAAATTGGGCTAGGCACATGCATTTAACCCTATACCTACTCTCTCAGGTCATTTTCTAGAGGGGGGGGGGCGTGAAACGCCCCCCAGGCTATACATAGATTCAGACCCTCCAGCCTTTAAAGGGTTAATGGGACTTTTGTCGTATTTTAGGTGACAATCAATTTAATGAGAGTCATTCCAGATTCACAACGAAACCCTTGAAACCAAAAAAGGAATGTGGAAATTAACGTGGTTGTTTTAAGCTGGAAAAGTATTTAATTCTCGTAATTTTTTCATTGTTTCTAATCCAAGAAATGCTTAATTTATTTTTGTAAAGAACAAACAAATGGAAATTAATAGTTTTGATCAGACCAAGATTATAAGAGCACTTGTATTTGATCAGACCAAGATTATAAGAGCACTTGTATTTGATCTTACCAAGATTATAAGAGCACTTGTATTTGATCAGACCAAGATTATAAGAGCACTTGTATTTGATCAGACCAAGATTATAAGAGCACTTGTATTTGATCAGACCAAGATTATAAGGGCACTTGTATTTGATCAGACCAAGATTATAAGAGCACTTGTATTTGATCAGACCAAGATTATAAGAGCACTTGTATTTGATCAGACCAAGATTATAAGAGCACTTGTATTTGCGTTTACAGTCACTTTAAACCAAATCTTTGCCAAAAAAAATTATGTTTTGATCGATACTTTAGAATTTTTCATTTCTTTTTCTTGTTTCTCATTTATCGGATTGAAACTAAAGTTAGGGCAATAAGTGTCCATCATATCCCCCTTTTTGTTTTTGCAAACGCCCCATCATTTAATCTGGTTTCCGTGTGTTTTATTGAATACACCGGCATATGTTTAACTTTCATTAGAATCTGATTCTGTTGATGTAAAAAGTTGGAATAGTTTAGATGAGAATAAAACTTTGCTTCTTTCCCTAGTTTTTTTCAAGCTTTGTCAATCTGATACAAGCTTTTTACTTTCTATGTAAAAATACAGGAACAATATTGTATAAAAAATCTTAAGATATGATATTAGGCCAATAGCATTTAATTCTATAATGTTTTAATGGTATTATTTTTTAAACATTTTAAAATGTTTTTTTTAAAAACTTTTTGCACAGTGTAATCTTGATTTAAAAGTTGATGTATTATACAGCTATTTTGTTGAATTATTATGAAAAGTTTGCAAAAACATGAGTGATTTAAATTTAATTTTACAAACCATGAATATTTCACATTGAACAAGGCAAAAAAAGTCCAAATATTTAAAAAGTTGCTTTTTGCGTGATTATTGATTCAGAGAACAAATCAAAAAATTTTAATATTTACTTGTGAATGCATTTGATTAATACGGGGGGTATTACAAGCTGGCCGTGGGAATGGAGAGGGGATACCCACCAAGTCTTAGCCTGATCCCTACGTGTGCCCGGGCTCAAGTGTATAGACGAGACCAGCACGCTCCTGGGTTCAGAAAAGTTTGGCCCGTGCTCTAGGCAGGGCCAGTGCGACGGTCTTGCTTAAGCTTAAGCCTGTGTATAATTGCACCCCGCAACCCTCAGGTTTACGTATGTAAAGCAATCCTGGGTTCAGAAAAGTTTGGCCCGTCAAAGCTCTCGGACCTGCACCCCCTATATAAAATTACATTCTACCTCCTCTCGTACGTAAACCTGGGGGTCGCGGGGTGCAATTCAAACTGCCCCCCATTTCTCTGTTAAATCCCTTTCTACAAAGTTGACCCCCGACCCCCTCTTTAATCCATTTGAGTCCAAAGTTTAAAGTCTGGACCATCATATCATAGAAATAAACTAGTCACTCAAAACCATGGAATACAACACTATCTTTACACTGCATATTTAAAACGTTAAGTTCAGTAAAAAAATTTAAAAATAAAAATCAATGTTTAATTGTTCAAGAATTGTTAAAAAAAAGCATAGTTTTAAACAATTCAACCAAAACGTCCGCCTTAATGAACTGGACTGGATACAATGTATAAAGTGTAATATAAAGAAAATCTTAATTAAGAGATTTCTTGGAATTTCATTACATTTTTCTTTTTCAAAAATGATGAATGGTTTGTTTAAATAAAAAATTAAAGAAATGCTTTTTTTTTCAAAATTTAAAAGACTAAAAATATAATTTGATGGGACCCTCGAAAAAGTTAAAATCGATTCACAAAGGTAGGAGGGGTGATAGAAGGGTTTGGGATGATAGGATGGTTTGGGATGTAGGAAGGGTTGGGATGAATGGCGTGGTTGTGATGATAGGAGAGGTTGTAATGATGGGAGGGTTTGGGATGGTAGGAGAGGTTAATTAATTAATTAATCACGTAGATTCAGCCTGCTTATAAACAGTCTCATCAATTTTTAAGACAGGGATGACTTTGAAGTGTCGCAACGCCCTAAGCTTAGATTTTACTGTTCTAACTCACTTATGCTTTTCTGTAGTCCTTTACATGTACATTTTAGCACTGCAAAGCAATTTTTGTTAGCTTTGGTTTTTTAGAAGTAATTGTCGAAATTATCAACAATTTAAGCTTGAGAGCGTGAGCCCATTAAATTGCAATGGGTTAAGATGGTAGGAGGGGTTTTCTGATGGTTGAAGGGATTGGGATAATAGAGGGTGCTCGGTATAATGGGAGGGTTTTGGATGAAAGAAGGATTTGGGATGATAGAAGGGGTTGGGATGGTAGGAGGGGTTAGGATGATAGGGATAATATAGGAGGGTTTGAGATGATGGGAAGGGTTGTGATGGTTGGAGGGTTTGAGATGATGGGAAGGGTTGTGATGGTAGGAGGGTTTGAGATGATGGGAAGGGTTGTGATGGTTGTAGGGCCTTGATGGTAGGAGGGGTTAGGATGATAGAAGTTGTTGGGTTGATGGGAGGGGTTAAGATTTTAGGAAAAGTTTTGATGCTAAGAATGGCTGTGATGGCAGGAGGGGTTGTGATGGTAGGAGGGTTGAGATGATGAGCGGGTTTGGAATGATAGGAGGGTTTGGGATGGTATAGGAGGGGTTGGGATAATAGAAGGGTTTGTGATGATGGGAAAGGTTTTGATGGTAGGAGGGGTTGGGATGATAGGAAGGGTTGGGATGGTGGGAGAGGTTGTGCATGGTAGGAGGGGTTGTGATGATGGGAGGGGTTGTGATGGTAGGAGGAGTTTGGATGATGGGAGGGGTTTGGATGATAAGAGGGGTTGTGATGGTAGGAGGGGCCTGGGGGATGGATTGATAGAAAGGGTTGGGATGGTAGGAGGGGGATGGAAAATAATTTTGTTTGTTTGTTTGTTAATAAATATTTTAGTATATAAACATCTAAGAATGTATATAAATGTTTATATTTGAAGATTAAAGTTTCCAACGTATATATATTATATATACATACATTAGCAAAGTTATGCGTCTAACCCCAATCTCATTTCCTTCCTTCAGTAAAACCACAAAAACCAAAATTTAGAGAATTAATCATAAAATTGTGATTTAATCTTTAACTTTAGACAGATAAAAGTTGGATAAAACATAAAGTTACCCAAACCTTCCCCAACCTGCTCTGAAATCAAATGAATTGAGTCTTTGTCACAAAATCAAATATTTAAACCTCAATATCTTTAGAATTCGATGTTGTAAACCTTTGATATTTCAAACTCAGATAACTTGATCTAACAGAATTCATAGTTTGAAATAACTAAGGTCTGCAACATTTGGTTCCAAAGATATAGTGATTAGAAAATCAGAGTTTGTTACAAAGACTCAATTCTTTTACAGATATAGAGAGGAGCAGTTAAATTACCTACGTAGGCTTATAATTAACGTATTATCTTGTGTGTCGGGGTTAGTTAAGCTTAGGTATTTCAACTACTTCTTGCTGTTCATTATATTTGCACTCTGAATACAAAAATATGGTAGATTGTTATGGTGCAATGTAAATAAACATAATGCTGAGCTTTGTTGATATTCCTCCCGGAAACTGCTTCCAATGGTCATTAAAGAAAATTGTTTAACTCAATTTCCAGTTGATTTTATACTGAATGAAATAAAGTACATACACGTGGATCAGTTTTGGCTCCCGAGAGAAATTTGATTGATAGTGAAGATAAGAACACTTATACTAGCATTAAGTTAAAAAAAAATATTTGATTTTAAGTTCAGTAGAGGAAAATAATTATTAAATTAGATTATTATGTAACGATGAAAGTTTTATCCTTGAATAGGGCAAGGGTGGCGTTAGACGCCCCCCCCCCTCCCTGGCCCCTTTAAATAGGTTTTTGCCCGAGCAGAAAAATGGATATATGAACATGTATGATATGTCATTTTTTATCAAAAAAAAAAAACGTTATTGTTAACATTTTTCCGAACTTACCACGTTATTTATTCATCCTTAGCACCTGAGGCCAAATTTAAATATGAGACGCGGTTCAAACATGGTTGGTTCAATTTGCAATTTTACTCAGTATCTCGAGATTTCAGCCAGCGCGCAATTTGAACCAGTGATTGGCCGTTCAGCTACATAGTTCAAATTTGTTTAATTCGCGGCCTCTGAACCATTCACATTTTTTAGTGAGTTGGCCTTGAAAAATTGGGCAATGAACTTGTAGTGCATCTCCATACCTTTACTCGTATGCGANATACCACTCTCCAGTCTATCCATAGATTCAGACCCCCCAGTCTTCATATGATTCACAAAGCTCTTATCCCAAAGTAATGGTTCAAAGTGAGGGGTCAAAGTAAGTGAGCACAGGTAAACAAAAAACGCCCAACCCCCTGCAAACCCCATGCCAACCCCCCTTAAAAAAAAAACATTTCAGTTACTTTCATTTTTTCATTATTTCATAATAAATACAGGAGTTTGTTGTTGATTTAAACAGACTGCGACACCAGGCAAGTATTTTTAAATTCTTTGATTGAAAACCTGGACTCAACTAGAGACAGAATTTTAATCATTTCAGTTCAAAGTTAGTTCTAAATTGATAAAATCTTGCCAGCAGTGTTCAAAGGTTTTGCTAAGTCAGAACCCCTTTTAGATATAAACATGAACCAGAGGCAGAATTGTATGTACAATGTACATTTTACAAAAAAGAATTCTCGATATAAAACAAGACAACTGACCTTTAATCCAGAAGAAAAAAACCAGTGTTTATCATTAAAGTTGGTGTCAAAAACGTGATTTGGGGTGAAAATACACATTCAGATTTGAAAATACACAGTCAGATTTGAAAATACACAGTCAGATTTGAAAATACACACTCAGATTTGAAAATAATTTATGTGTTTGCAGATCATATTTACATAATAATATTGTTTCTTAATAATCCGATCTAACATGTTCTACTTTTATTTCATTAACAATATGAAAAATAAAATAAATATATAAACCTAATATAGAATTTAGTTTTTGCCACACACTCGCATATTCTTACCCCTATATCTTTTCAACCTGATGATGTAAACCTTTGATATTTCAAACTTTGACTATTTCATCTAACAGAAATAATAGTTTGAAATATAAAAGGTCTAGAAAAACGGGTTGCAAAGTTATAGGAGTTAAAAAGTCTGAGTTTTTGGCAAAAACTCAATTCCTTTTTCATGCGTAAAAAAAACGGGAAGTCGAACTGTTTAGACTTCAAGCTCAACAGATTTTGAAACCCACTCTCAATGAAAAATGAACTCGCCTAGTTCTAACTTTTTGCCAAACTTCTTTTCTTAACAATGCTATTATTAAACTGATATTTTTTTAGGTTTACTAGCTTGGGAATCTATCGCTGCCAAGGTTACTAAAAGTTACTCCCGCCGTTTAACCACTTAAACGATTTTACCGGGAAGTAAATTTTTGTTATTTAAGTCGACCCACTCAACTTAGAATCTCAAAACCAAGCTAAGAACATTCTCGTGGCTCTCCCGATTTCTCCAATCAAAATTTAAGGCAAATCGGTCCAGGGGTTTCTTATTTATGATCGGACAGAAAAACAGACAGACAGACAGACAAACAGAGATTAAAACTTTATATATTTAGATAATTAGTAAGGGAAGGAAACCGTTTGCATTGACCACAACAGTGGGAAATGGAATTAACTAGAAACATGTTGAGACAGGTCAAAGAAATTGTCTCTAACTGTATTTTTCTAATCCCAATATCTTTGGAATCTGATGTCGTAGGTATTTGATATTGCAAAGTATGATTTGTGTTAGATTCAATAGCCAACATTTGAACATGTCAGGTTTCAATGTTTAGGTACTAAAATATTAGAGTTTGAGGCAAAAATTTAGTACCTTTATTTCTATTTTTGAATTTTTACACATATTTAAACATAACCGGATATAATTTTGTTCTATTTCCTTTATCTCTAGTCTCTAGCTGGTGATTCAAACAAAACAGTTTCTATTTATCTTTATATCTTTTTATCTAGGTCTGGACGCTGTAGGGAAGAACGACAGCTTTTACACGTTAATTATTATATCGTTCGGACTCCCACGATAGTTAATCAGTTAATTTTGAGTGAAAGAAAAGCGTGTTTTTGTTAAGGACCGAGTTTAATGAATTGGAGAGGAAACCTGTCACCGGTTCAAATCCTGAATCGCCGATTCAATTCCTCATAAAACTTTGACTTCGGAGATTTTTACCGGTGGCGGAGTTTAGTTCAGCGAACTAGCTCAAATTCATTAAATTCGGACCCTGATTGCATAACATGTGATTCGTGCATCAATGATTGAGAAAAACAATAAGAATTCTCTAAAGACGAATAAATTTGAGTAAAAAATATTAATATTTAACCAATAAAGCGACTCTTTTACAAAATAATCAAGAACGTTTTGAAATTCTAGAACATTCCCTTCTCTATTTTCTACTGTAGGCCGGTCTATAGTCTACACACCCCCCATACATTTCAATCTTGAATTCAATATTCACATTTGAGTTTATCTCTGGTATAAATTCAAATATATAGATTCTACACTGCTCTGCTAAACCCAGGCTAAAACCAGGGGTAATAAACTGCAATCAAGCAATCCTATACAATAGATTTTTGTAATTTTTAGATGTACATTGTTCTTTCATTGTAGTTTCATTGTATTTCTTTTATATTATTTATATTTTCCTTGTACATTACATATTGTAGTTTCCTTTTACATTGTACTACACCCTTGTCCATTGTGCACTGTACTTTCATGGTACATTGTTCATTATAGTTTCCTTTTACATTATAGTTCTCCGTCTATATTGTAAATTTTAATTTTCTTGTCCATTGCGCATTTCAGTTTCCTTGTACACTGAAATTTCATTCTGTAAAACTATGTACAGTTACAGAGTACATGTACAGTATACATTACACAATTCACATAGTTCTAAATTATATTAAGGAATTGAGTCTTTGTAACCGTTTGCTTCAGAACGTCATGTGAATTAGTTTCAGGAATATGTTGACTGAGTTTTACTCAAATATATCTTTTTCAAGCATGGTTTTGTATTGTCATGTATTAGGATAGCCCAGGAACTTCATAGTTTTATTGTAGACACCAGCAAGTTCGCTTTTCATGCTTTGAAAAACGAAGCCAATTGTTTACTTTCTTTTTTAGTAAATGTTTACTTACAATATACGTTTAAACTAGTTCATGCGATGGACTACTTCTTCACTTAAAATGTTAACAATTCCTATACAATATTCCTTAGCTTTACCATCATTGGGTCTTTCAATGCATTCAAGTTTTGTATTTCTACAATTTGATAATTTAAATATAAAATGTTTTCAAATGTAATTTACTTGTTTGCGGAAATTTTCGCAAAGTTAAAATGGTTAAATGTTCGATTTGCAATACGATCTAATCTGCTGTTCGTACAGTTTAAACAAAACTTAGGTGAGTACTAAATGTATTAAACGAATTTGTATAATGTATTTGCAAGTATAAAATGTATAGCGAATATTAGTATTATGTATAAATGCATGTATAAGCCCTATCATACATAATTCAAATAATGAACTAAAAGTTTATTTAAAATGTAAGAAATGTATTAAACGTTATTTCAAAATGTATAAAATGAAATTACCATTTGTGTACAAATGTAGGAATTGTATGAAACGGATAAGTAAAATGTAGGAAATTAATTAAATGTACAAATTGTATGAAATGTATCTAAGTTTTCATTGTATGGTTTAAATATAACGCATATACAAAATGAATAAAATGTATGTATAGAATGCAAGACACGTACTTGTACAATGAATGAAATGCATGTACAAAATTTTTGAACCTCATGTTAAACAAGTGAAAAGTATGTAAAAAACATATGAATCGAAATGTACGTGCAAAATACAGGAATTTTATGAGATATGATGAAAAATCTTCTCTTGGAAATATATCTGACATATAAACTGTTCCTTAGCTCTGTATATCTGGGGGGAAGTCAGGATTCGGGGTTTAACCAAGGTTTCCATGCAAACAACGTCAATCAAACTAAACCAATCAATCAATCACAAAATTTGAAGAAAAAATGTATTTGATTCAATTGTCTTTTACTACTTTCAGTTCATACTGTGGTAGGCGATTATATCAATACAATGAAGACTACTTTTGATTTCAATTTTGATTTATAAATCTTTACATATACTTTGCTTGTCTGGGTGGGTGTCGGTTTATTTGGTTGTATCCAATAAACGTCTAAACGGCTGCAACGATCGGGCCCAAATTTTTTGTGGGACTTCAAGTGACCCAGGTATGGTTTATGGAAGATGGAATTTTAAAAAATTTGCATCTAAGAAAATTATATTCTTGAACATTTTGAAAATCCACGAAATTTTTTTTTGATAAAATCTGCCAAATTTTGTTTTGTTTTTATTTTACAATATTGTATACAAAGAGAAAATGTTCACAATTAAAATAGAAGATGGGCGCGAAGCGCCCTTAAAGCCTAGTATGCATAGAAGTCAAAAGAAAATGTCATTTAAAAAAGATTTTCCTGGATTACTTGTAAACCTACCTAGCATTGTAGTTGACATGTATGTAAGTATCAAATGGCTTAATCATCGTTAAAAATTTGCTTATATATATCTATATAGTTTAAGAATGCACAGAGAACTGGAAAAAGAATATAAAAATCTCATCAAAGTAACTTTTTCAAACTTTCTTTATAAAGCTGAAACTTTACTTTACAGTGCAATAATGTATTTTTTTAACAAACGCATCTCTTGTCTTATTAAAAGGAAGGGTCGACGTAGTTTTTATGAATCCCTTTCCTAAAATGTAGTTTTAAAAAAATATCTTATTTATTTGGAACGTTTATAATTGAATTTTCTTTGTAAAATTGACTTGCGGCAGTAACGAGGCCGGACAAATTTTAGGTTTTTTTGATAAAAACGTATTGTTTCTCATTTTCCATCGAAAAAAAAGGTTTAAAGAAATGGGTTTTTGACGGAGTGTCGCAATTGAAATTAAAGATACTATAAATATAATTTCAAATGACCCTCCATTGATAACAGTCCAATCTACAACGGTACCCTAAAGAACGTTGATGATCAAATTAAATTAAATATCCATGTATATTTTTTTTTAACTGTTTATTATTATTTGTGATTTCTCTACAAAAGTGACGTGACAATTGCGCATTTCATGCTTCAGAAAAAACGAAAACATTTTCAGAATAAAACTCGTTAGCGCTAGAAAAACAAACATATCTTTCCCATAATTGATCAGATCAAGATTTCAAGGATACCGTTGTGAAACGGGTATCCGCCTCGTTAAATAGAGAATCCCTTAAAATTACAATAGTTTATGTCAATTAACCCTTTCTCAGAAGCTTGAACATTTCAAAGGATCTTTTAAAGAACTTTGGGGTTTCTTCATTTTTTTTAATGTTTTATTTATTTTATAAAAGTATAAATGGTTTTAATAGTGTAAATAAATACAATAATTTCTTTAAAACGATTCTTGGACAATCCAAGATTTAACTGAAAAATTCAAAAATTCAAAAATTGTTATGTTTCCTCTTTTTACTCAATTTTAATTTTTAAAATAACTTAAAACTTTAAGTTTGGTTTGGTTAAGATTAACATTGACATTTAAGAAATGCAAAATTGGATTCAACAAAAAAAAATAAAAGTTTTGAAATAATTTTAGATGATATTAAACAAGGAAACGATGAATTTTTCTCAAGATATTTGAGAAATCATCTTATTTCAAATATTCTTAGAATAAAAGTTTTCCATTAGTTTTGAAGCTGATAAAACTGGATTTAGAAGAGGTTGGAATTCTTTAATTCTTTTAAGTAAAGGATTACATAGAACGGTAAATTTCGTTTTTCCCCGCTTAAAATTGAATTAAACCTGTAAATAACGCCGTTAATACTGCCCAGCCCTAGTTCCCTTTATAAGCAACAACATTTTTTTAAGCCGTTGGAACAGTTGGAAAGGTTGGTCGGTTCGTTGGTTCGTCAAAATAAGTGACGGGTTGATTAAGGAAGTAAATGTTAAATCTTCAATACGGGACTAAAAATTGTTCAGCCTTCATTCACGATTCCATAAAATCTTTGTTTTCCTGGCAGGTGCAAAAATCTATTCATTTTCCAAATTTAAATTTGCAATATTCAAAGTTAATCCAATAAAGCCTTTCATCATCAAATTTTGCACATCAAACAAGCAATTTTATCAATTAGGGACAAAAACAATCAATAAAAAAAACTTTAAAAGAATATTTAAAATTTCGGCTTTTTTACCAATGTACAGTATACAGCAGACAAAAACAATCAAGTAGCAGTGAAAAAAATATTCTATCATGAAAGAATTGAGGTATTTTTCCGCCAAAAAAGAAGCAAAGAGAAGATTTTTTTAGATAAATCCTCCCTAAATTGAAATTGGGTTTTTGCCAAAAAAACTCAAATTTTCTAGCACCGTGGTGGCGAAATCTTTGATATTTCTAACTTAGATTAGTTTGATCTAACATGATTCCTAGCTTGACATATTTTAGGTCCACGATATTGGGTTGCAAAGGTATAGAGATTATAAAATTTGAGTACGGGTCAAAAACTCATTTTTATGAAATAAAATCTAAATCAATATATAAAATATGCTAATAATGAATATATGCAGTGTCTTTCTAGTGGTTTGTCTTTTTTAAATCGCTTTATATTAATATCAAACTCAAAGTTTGAAATATCAAATGTTTATACCATCAAGTTGCAAAATATAGGGATTAGAAATTCGAGTTCGTGGCAAAAACTAAATTCTTTATGACAAACATGCTAAGTCTTCTCTGATCAAATTTTGATAAAGAAAGCAGTTTTGATTGCAATGTTAAACATTAACTTGTAATCTTATTTTCTCTCTATTTTCTGCAGTTTTATAGAATTGGATTATTTTTTATAGAATTGGATTATTGACATTCGCAGGAAGAAAATGCCGCATAATTAGTTTTGACTTGTCTCACAGTTCATAATAATTAGACTATCATATTGTAATAATTGTTGATTTTTGATTATATATATTTTTAACGTAGGATTAATTTACATAATTTCGACGAACTTTTATTTAAAGAGCGACATAAAATTTCGTAGGCCTTTTATATTTTAAATTGTAAATTCTGCCAGATCAAATTGTCAAATTTTAAAATATATCAAAAAATCCATTCTCAAAAATTTANGCAACTGCCCAATTTTACAGGAAGGCGACGTCCCTACCCTAGCACTCCCACCCCTGTAGCCGCCAAGGAGAGAAAATATGAATTGAAAAGTCTTAAACGTCGATGCGTATTTAAAGTTTCTAAAAGTTTTAAAACTTATAGAACACTTTTAAGTTTTACAGACTGCTAATCTCAGCTTGTTTATAAGCTTGACATATTGAAATTAAAATAAACAAAATTCATATTAAACAAAGAAAAAAAAAGATTTGATATCTTTTAAGTGGTTCAAAAGTTTGTACTAACACTTAACATATTCAGAAGAGGTTTTTTAAGTAATTAAAGCATTTTAACTGTATGCCTTTTTTATGCTTAAAAAAAAGATAATGCATTAAGTTTGTTGATTATGGTTTGAGAGAGTTCAAAAATATATTTTATAATTCTAGCTGAAAAGATTAACTATGTTAGATAGACAGAACTAATCTGAATGAAAATTTTCTCTTTTTTTAAATCGGTTAACTATATAATCCAGTCTGAACACTTTAAACCAATAGATGCAAAAGATAGTTTAAAGTAGTTCAGGGTTACTTTAAAGGTACAGTTTGCAAAATCAGATTAAACTTGGAACCTATTCCATTTTGGAAATGAATGAGCCTATATTATTAGCTTTAGTTATGTAATTTCTTTTAATTCAATGGAAGAATACAAATTTTGCTAATTTGGCTTTTTATTATTGGAATATAGGGTTTCTGGTAAAAAAGGCGAGTGTTAAGTAGTTGAAAACTCAAATGTTGGGTAAGGGAATTTTTTAGAAATTTTCTATATTCTATTATTTGATTAGTTAATGATTGATAATTTGATTATTTAATGATTGATAGATTGATTTCCTGAGAGTAACGAAGAGAGGAAGAAGAACCATGGTAGAGGAAGGTTTCTCTATTTCTCTATTTTTATTTAAACTTATCTTCCGTTTCATCCATCCTTACTTATCTTCTCCTCCGTCCCGCCCTTCTCCTCCTTACCTCCCTTGTTTTCCTTGGTCTCCTCCTGTTCTTCCTCTCGTCCTTCTTTCGTCTCCTTTTTTTCTTCCCGCCTTTTCTTTTTTTCTTCTTTTTCTTTTCCGCTTTGAACTGTAAGACAGTCCTGATTGGAAAATTATAGATCAAATCATTTTCAGCTTTTTGAAACCTCTGACAAGAATAATTAAGTTTCTTCCACGTTGACTTTTTTATTGGCTGGCCTGAATATTAACATGCAGCCAATGGTCATTCATTAATCAAAGAAATCTATATAATAAAACAAACATTTCTTTATATATATGTTGCGTATAGCCGGCCAAACGGCTAGACCGATTGGGCTGAAATTTTTTTTGGACACTCATGGGTAGCCGGGGGGTGTTTTTTTCAACATTTTTTTCGATGATAGCGCCGGGCCCTTCAGCTAGTAATTTAAATATTGAAGGATTTGATGATTACGTAATAACTAAAATGATAAATATGTTGTGTAATAAGCAATAATCGCTGTCGCCTATTTGTGCATAATTTTGCATATTTTTCTTTTTTCTTTCATAAAACTATATATTCAAAAATTTATTGAAACAAATTCAAACTGCACCATTTATATATGTATTTATATATTTGTGTGTGAATACATATTTATAATATAATAATATTATTTGAAAATAAAACGTAAAATACGGTTTGAATACGTTTCTGATCTATGTAATAAATTGTTAATGTTTTATTTTTAAAATCCGAAAAGTTAAATAAATATTAATATTCGATCTTTCAAAAAGGATATATTTTAACTTAACAGTGTAAGGCACAGCTGTATCCAAAGGTTGCAAGTTCTAACACAAAAATCGATGAGAATTTTGACAATCACTTCTTACAAAATAAAGAAAGAAAAACAATGTTTACATGTCTAAGGCTACAAAAAAGTAATCGAGTTAGTGAGCTACTTAAAAGTCGACCATGTCTTGATGTGAAGGAAGGATAAGTTGGAGTAGAATAGAGTTTTTTAGGGAGAAAATCATATGCCTCGTTAACGACAGAAAAATATAATCATTCAGGTTAATATAGAGATTCCAAGATTATGTTTTCAAGTGTTTAATTGGTTCCAACAAGGTGTAGACAACAAATAAAACAAGAAGTATCCATTAATTATTTGTGTTGCAATCTAATAACATCACAGCTAAATCTTAGATAAACATATGGAAACATAGATAGATAGATAGATAGGTATGTAGGTAGATACATAGATAAATAGGTACTTATACAGATAGATAGATAGATAGATAGAAGTTGGATTTAAAAGATAAAATTCGTTTATAGCCAATAATACATATATTAATAACATTTATGTTTACCATGTCCAATTATTTTTTACAGTAGAACTGTTCCATTTTTACAATGTCCAACCATTGTTTACATAATTATTGTTCCAGGTTGGCCATTTTCAGCTTTTGTTTACAGAAGTAATATTCCATGTCCACAATTTTCATCTATTGTTTACAGTAGTATTGTTACATGTCCACCATGTCCAAGTAATGTTTACAGTATTATTGTTTCTTGTCCAACATGCCTAACTTTTGTTTGCAAAAGTATTGTTCCAGGTTTACAATTTCCAACTATTGTTTACAGAAGGTTCCAGGTTTACCATTTCCAACTATTGTTTACAGTAGTTGTTCCATGTCCATTGTCCACCATGTCCAACTATTGTTTACAGTAGTTGTTCCATGTCCACCATGTCCAACTATTGTTTACAGTAGTATTGTTACATGTCCACCATGTCCAACTATTGTTTACAGTAGTTGTTCCATGTCCACCATGTCCAACTATTGTTTACAGTAGTATTGTTACATGTCCACCATG